TTTTTTCTAGTTTGAATGACATTAGGTTGACGAATAAGCGTCTTTTCAGAAAAGATTGATTCAAATTCGACTATACCAATCAGAATCTAGAATGTAAACAAATACTAAAAAATCGTTATTTTCATGGTTTTTCAGCGCTATTTTCACTTATTTTTGTTATTTGACGCTATTTAGACAAATAGGCAAGTTTTCCGAAGCATAAAATTGAAGATTTCCCGCCAAAATAGAAACTTCCCATAACGTTCTAACATCATTTTAAAATATTCCATATCTAAAGCAGAAAGTGTTAGCTAAAAATAGACTTATTTATAGAACAATCCCCCATTTCTCACCTCAGGGAAAGTCATAAAACAGTTGGGTGCTAATGACTTTGTGAAAGGGAAAAAGTTCTACACTTAGAAACTTCGAAAGAAGGGATTTGGCCTGTACTGTCCGCGGGCCGCATAAACATTGATAGGGGGCCGTATGTGGCCCGCGGGCCGCAGGTTATGCACCCTGATTTTAACAAGTCACTATTTGTAACACCGCAACACAGAAGTGTCAAGTACAGTAATACCTCAGGATACGAACACCTCAGCATACGAAATTTTCAGGATACGATGTGAAATTTGAACATATTTTTGCTCCATGGTACGAACCAAAACTCACCATACAATGTTACATTCGTTCGCAGTGCCATTTTTTTATTCACTTCTGTTCATTGGTCTCGTGTTTGCTTTGTCGTGGAAGGATCTTGCTCGATAAAGGAAATCTTGAGGTATTATCAGAAAGTGACTGATTTTATTGAAAAGAAACATCTCGAAAAGGTTCACACTGGCTGTATTGCTGCTCAGTTTAATGAGATTTGCCTAAGTCATTTTAGAAACACTTTAAAAAGTAGGCAAAGCCAAACCTCTTTGGATAGATATTTACCAAGAGACCTCTATCCAGTGAAAGTGCTGGTGGAAGTGAAGGAAAGAAAGCAAAAAGCAGTGAATAAAAAATTTTTAAAAAATATAAAACAGAAAAGATAAAAAAATTAATGTTGAGTTATTATTACATTATGTTATGTAAGTTAAGTTTTAGTATCATTTCCCTTCTCTCTCTCCTCTGCCACCAGTTTACATTTCCACCATCGTCTATCCTCAAAAGTAAAGTGCAAATAAAACTATATTTTTTTTATCAATTATTATTCTATTATGGTTATTTATACATTTACAACTACAAAATGCATTTTTTCAGTGTTTTCTTTACTAAAGTTGTTGTTATTTTTTTTTAATGTACTACTTAGCTTTAATTTGAGTGTGTTTTTTGTGTTGGAACAGATTATTTGGTTTTACATGTAATCATATAGGAAAAATGATTCACCTTACAACATTTTCATGATACAATCTCAGTTTAGGAACAGATTAATTTTGTATCCTGAGGTACTACTATATTTAATCTTTGAAAACTGGTGTGAACTGTAATTTATTATCATCATAGACTTATTACCAAAAAAGAAGTGGAAAAGGTTATTGAAATGTTGAAAACTTTCTTTGAATGTCAGGATGTATATGCTTACCTTCAAAAGATTGTCCAGTCAAAATAAGTCAGGCATCATAAATTATTTACTGACTATTTCTGCTAATGGATGTCAAAAACATTTTATTTATATCTAATACAGATATATACTGTGAAGTATGCAATATTATATTAAAATACCATACCTTGAATCAAACTTATTATTGTTTACTGCATACAAACTCTATATCTTGAAACCTATCTCAAATTTTTTTTCATTCCTGTGAGATTTGAGATAGACAGGTTTGACTATACAGGTATACCTCGACTTACGTCGCTTCGAGTTACGTCATTCCCGATTATACGTCGTTTGTCAAGAAAGTATATGGAAAAATAAAAATCAAGTTTAAGTCATTTTATTCGACTTTGTCTGTCCGCCACAAATATTGAAGTCGTAATATCACTAGAAAAATGTTTAAAGCACATAAAATCATATTATAATATATACTTNGTCGTATGGTGAGTTTTTGTTCGTATCGTGGAGCAAAAATATGTTCGAATTTCATGTCGTATCCTGAAAATTTCGTGGAGCATTCGTAACCTGAGGTACCACTGTATTTAGATTTAATGTTATCGGGATAGTGTTGTTTGTTTATATTTATTTATAACTTATAACATGCACAAAATAAAAAAGAAAATAATATTAGTCACATGTATTCACAATTTATAATTACAAGATCAGCACACGTACTGTACACACCTATTCGTTTGAGAATCGTTGCACAACTGAGAGTCTGACCCCGCCTATCCTTCTTTTTAAGCGCTCGTCTTTGCTCTTCCCTTTCTCTTTCCTCTATCGCTCTAAACCATATGTCTATGCATACATCATAATATACCCTCACTATACTTTCGATTCGTCACTTTTCCGTCGTAGATTTTCAATTTTACAATTATTTGACTCATAGCCTGGTGATAACGCAGAAAAGAGACAGATAGGACATCGGTATAAGTCACAGATACGATTTCACAGATTCGAGAAAGCTCGGTAGCCCGAATGGCCCCAGGCTTTTGCCCGTGCATGCTAAGTTACTTTCATTACAAGCATTTAGCTTTCCGAAGTCTATGACAACAATTGTTTGGCATTGATGGCCGCGAATTTCGTGCCAATAAGCTGCCTCGACTTGTTCGATTATGTTATTAACTCAATTTCATATTTATTTTAACTTCGCGGTCCTTCTCTCTTCTTTTTTTGTTACTTACACGTGTAGGTCATTTCATTGTTATCCACATTTGATATCATTTATCACATACAGTACTGCCATGACGCTCTTGTCTGTCCACTACAACTGTCAAGAATTAACGCGATTGACGAAGCGTGGTGACAGCGGGCCAATAGAGAGCAGGTCCTTGCCATAGTGCACTTTGCGCGCCAATTTTCATACGTGCATTAATCAAGCCGAATAGTTTGGCCGAATATTCGGCTATTTAGCCACGCTCCTGGCCGAGTATTTGGTATTCAGCCTCAGGCCAAATATACTATTCGTTGCAACACTAATAGATGTCCTCTGACTGACAAGAAGTAGATATCGTCTGGCTAATAAAAAAGTATCATCTGGTCAACGAGTAGTAGATGTGTTTCACTAATGATAATTTGTGATCACTGGAAGTGCTACTGTGTTGTAAGGTGTTTTCCTGAACAAACTGATATGGGATACATTCATTGGCCCTATGGATTCCGATGCCATTTATTGGACTATTAAGTTTAATAACTTGACTCGTGGGTACCTAAACATTTAGTATTTTAATATTAATTTAATGCAAATGTATACATATCCATACCCAATAATAATTAACAGAAAAAATAAATATATTCAATAAAAATCTTTGTTTTAATGAATGTACAATGTCGCGGCTCGGGAAATATGTTAACACTGAAATGAAAATCAGTCTAGAATAGGGAAAATCGGGGAATTACACTGTGAAACAGCAAATTGTGCAGTGGCGTTATTGTGAATTGGCGTAAACTGAGGGCTACCTGTATAGTTTTAGGGAAGTGTGGGGGCTCGTCCCCACCCAAGAGCTTAGGTGCGATTAATGGTGAGCACTGAAGCACCACGACTAAGTGCAAAGCATGTGGAATAGGCAGTACATCAATATGTGTTAAAAACTGATCTTTGGAGGTGAAAGTCTTGCAAAGGGTCAACAATTCTGGGATAGTGCAAAACCCTTCATTCAGAGTTTGAATCTTACTCCTTGCTGTATGTATTGGCTGGTATCCCGTTAATGGGAAAAACCCAAATCGGTTCACCATCTTGCTCATGTTTTAGGCCGAAATACTCCATCTTGCTATTCCAACACACTAGAGTTTATGGTGATTTGATTAATTGCAGTGTATCTTGTAGATGCCAAGACAAAAATAAGTTTAGAAAAAGCAGAGACTATTCAGGTGAGTTCTGAGATGGCAGAAAGTTACTGAGACTTTCTTTTAGACTAAAAGTGTTCTAAAAGCAGGGTTTAAGCAGAGAAACAATGAAAAAGAGGAACGACGACAAAACACCATTGACACAGTGAAAGACATATAAACCAATGAAGTAAATTCAGAAGAGTGGATAATCATAAAGAATAGCCTTAATCTATAAGGACCTTGAATAAGTTCTCGCTGTTCTTTAACAGATGGTGTTACCAGAACCACGTGTGTTTATTTTTAGATGATGACGCATCTGTAAGGAAGTACAATAAGCGACCTTGAAATTCAGTATATGTTTAACACAATGAAAAAATAAGTGTAAACAACTTATTTTTTCATTGTGTTAAATATGTCTAGTTTCGTGCCAAAAAAAGAGTATTTGCGGGGAATTTTATTGCACTATTTTATTCAAAAAAAATCTGCAGCTGAAGCACACAGAATTCTTGTTGAGAATTACGGCGACCATGTTCTGTCGGAAACAACATGCAGAGATTGGTTTAGACGCTTCAAAAATAATGATTTTGATGTTGAAGATAAAGAATGATCTGGTGCACCAAAAAAGTTTGAAGACGAGGAATTAGAGGCATTACTTCATGAAGACTCATGTCAGACACTAGCTGAACTTGCAGAATCATTAGGAGTTGATCACACAACAGTTTCGAAATGTTTAAAAGGATTAGGAATGATTCAAAAGCAAGGACATTGGGTGCTGTATGAGTTGAAGCCGAGAGATGTCGAACGGTGTCTTTTCACATGTGAACGGCTGCTTCAACGGCAGAAAAGGAACGGTTTTCTGCATCGTATCGTGACAGGCGATGAAAAATGGATACACTACAATAACCCTAAGCGTAGAAAATCGTGAGGTAAGCCCGGCCATGCATCAACATCGTCAGCAAGGCCGAATATCCATGGTTCGAAGCTTCTGCTCTGCATTTGGTGGGATCAGCTAGGTGTAGTTTATTACGAGCTGCTCAAACCAAACGAAACCATCACGGGAGATCGCTATCAACTACAATTGATGCGTTTGAGCCAAGCATTGAAGGAAAAACGGCCACTATATGAGCAGAGACACGACAAAGTGATTTTGCAACATGACAATGTTCGGCCACATGTTGCACAACTGGTGAAAACGTACTTGGAAATGCTTAAATGGGAAGTCCTACCCCACCCATTGTATTCACCAGACATTGCCCCTTCGGATTATCACTTGTTCCGACCGATGGCACATGGCCTGGCTGAGCAGCACTTCCATTCTTATGAAGATGCCAAAAAATGGGTTGATTCTTGGATAGCCTCAAAAGATATGTCGTTTTTCCGACGTGGAATTCAAATGCTGCCAGGACGATGGGAAAAAGTAGTGGCTAGCGATGGACAATACTTTCAGTGACGTGTTTATTACAACTTTTTTAAAATAAAGTGTTAATTTTCACAAAAAAAACAGTGAGAACTTATTTAAGGTCCTTATATATATTTCATTTTGAAGAGTTTTTGACATGGATGATTCTCTGGTAACATGCAGAATGTTGAAAATGTGAGAAGAGTTTTCTGACAACAAAAATGAACTAGAGGATCAGCTAGATTCACCTATTAAATACTTGACACTTGCATGTTGTGGCGTTACAAATAGCAACTTGTTAAAATTCACATGTTCAATTGAATACAAATTTGTATTCGGTTTTTCGTCTGAGGATGATAACTATAAGCTATTGAAAGTGCTTGAGAGTACATGTGAATTTTAACAGGGATGCGCAACCTTTTCTGAAGAAGAGCCAAATTAGGATTAAGTTTACTGACTGGGGGCCGGACCTCCAAGTGATTAATGCGATGGCTGAGATTGGATGCTGGCAGCAATCTTCTTGATGTCTAGCGTAATGGCAGATGTTGAAACAACCAGCAGATTTTCCAAATTCT